TAGAATTTTGAATTTATTATAAACGAATTGATCATGAAGTATGGATTTTATAATGCAACATTTTTCAAATTTAATCAGATAAGAGCGGCTATAGATTAGGTACAAATATTTTGTAGACATATGCAATTCTATATTGATGCAATAAATACTTAAATTATTAATATCAATTTAAAATTAGACATCAATGAGTATTGATTTCAAGTGTGCTGTGTTATACTGTACAAATTCATATTGAAATTAAATATCTGATAGGTAGTTCAAAGGTTCTTTAAGCAATGATATTCCGTGCTGATTCCCAGTTTCCTCATTTAATCAAATAGAATTTGCGTACTCAGGTTTTCCCCGGAATTATCTGTCTACTTTAAAATGCTCATGGTTCTTCTTATAATACGGCTGAGATTTTCAAACCTCCTCATTTGTGACTCTATTTAGGATATTAATAGGCTTCTTCTATGCACCCACATCGCGAATGCTTCATATTTTTAAGAAGTTTTGCATCCATTTATTCCCATCAAAAATTATAGTAGGTAGTGAAAACGTAACATTTCACTAAATGATGTTTTAAGTAGTACTTAGATCTTTACTACAAAAAACTTGATTCACTTTTATTTCTGAAGTTTGCTCACGCTTTTTCTAATCTTATTCTGATTTCCTTCCTCGGTCTATTCAGTTGTGCTCTTTTCCATTTACACAAAATAAATCTACCGATTTTCTACATTTGTAGATATGCATAGTTAGACTATCGACTGTTGTTTTTTAAAATAATTAGAGATTTCGTGTTTTTAGTGTTGAGTGATTATACGCATTTTTCATGGCAGTTTGTTAATATTTGTAGATCTTCTAGAGTTTTCAAGAAAGACACTGTGTCGCCTTTCTTCTTCACAGCTTCCTTGAGTATTTGTTTGTGCTGTTATGATAATCTCTTATTGTAGGGTTGTCACTTGATTCTTTCATAGAAAAAATTGATTCAGACAGATTAAAAATAGCACAAGCAACAATAAACATGATTTAGAAATTGAAAATGGTATTTGCAAAATAGATGAGGTGTTTCAATAAGAAAAACTAGGTTTTTCATTATTTTTTGCACATCCTGCATATTTTTAAATTAAACCACATGAAGTTGGAAACAACTAATTTAAACCACATCAAGTTGGGCATATTATCAGTAACATGCATATCTTTTACAAAAAAATGCAATAAGCTTATTGCATTAAAAAAAACATATTTTTTTTGTTTTGACGGTTGGTGAAATGCAATTTCCTAAAAAAAAACATGTAAATCGTTAAATAATCTCAATTATGCAATCAATAGTTGCAATGCGGTCTAAAATAATATATTTTTTACATTTTCGATTTCCATTGTTCATTTTGCAATAATTTATTTTTAGAATAATTCAACTGTAGAAAATATTCTAAAAGTAAAAAGTTCATTATAATTATTATGCCTAAAATAAACATATTAGGCTTTAAATCAGAATGAAGATAGTCCAGTCAATGCCCCAAAGGGCAATAAAATATTCATTCTCGTTCAATATAATTTGTAAGTCTATCACATTTTTTAGTTTAAATAGCGCTAGCTAAACATTCATATTAATCATTCGGCATGTGTGTTTTTAAAGCCTTTAAAGCTTCTAGAGAGATCGCATATTTTATTGACCTATCTCTGAACTGGAACAAAATAAAGCTCATTGTAGCTCATGAAATTAGACGTTATAGTCGTAGTATTGCTGGAAGGAACCTGTTTTCTAGTACGAATTACTTAAACACAGTAGAAAATAAACAAAAAACGTCGTATTTTGTAAACATTGAAACTACAACCCGATTCAATATTGCAATTGCGCTCTCGTCGGGCAAAAGAAATATAAAAGCGGGATTTCAGTTTCAGTTGATTCAGAATTGCTACCAAAACTCGATTTTGTTACGGACCGTTTACCTCGCTTTGTCGGCATCGCTTTAATAGATATTTCGCTTGAATTTAATTGGACACATTTTATAATTGCTAAACATAATCCAGCACAGTTTCTTGTCATTCTGTACGCAATTCAGAGAAAAGTATAATTTGTTTTCCAAACATTAGATAACCATTTGCGTAGCGGTGCGGTAGATATTAAATATATGAAGTGTTACCTGCGAAACTCCTGAAACTATGGAGCTGTTGTGGATGAGTTTAATTAGTTTGGGACTAACTGTTGGAACTACTTATGCAGTTGTTGTAAGGTAATTGAGCAAGAAAGTTTGGTTTATTGAAACAGTTTTTTAATTTAAATTGCATGTTCTTGTTGTCTAGATTTTTGCGCAATAATATTGAACATTTAGTGAAACCACTAAAACTAATAGAAACAATATATTCATCCTTAATTTTTTAGTAGTTGCATACCTACTCTTCACCCTATTAAGTAAGTAATTTTGGATGATGTAGTGCGAAAACGTTTCAGACTTTATATTATGTTTGCTTTCGGTAGGCATGTAAGTCTATTTGTATACTAAATCATTTTCCGCTAATATGAAAAATACCAAGTTGTGCCAACAAATTTTCAGTCCAGTGGGTTATTTAAGAACGTTAATTTGGATTCAAGTTTAATTCAAGCAGAAGAAGTTATTGAATATTCGATTTAAATAATCCCTATAAAACATAATTCCCATAAACAACAATTTACATACACAAATCTATTGAATTATTCGGCTGCTCTATATAATTTTCTGTTTCTAAAGAGATGCAGTTTATAAGGCAGACTTGCATGAAAAGCTCATATGTTTATGCTATTTTTATTCAATCGAAGTCAATTTTCTCTTTGATTGAATAGACGGAAAACTTCCGCATCCAAGCGTTAAAAATAGCTGTGGTGTCGATAACTATTACTATCAATTTCATGTCGCGTTCTCACTTGAATTCAATTATTTGCAAAATGCAAAATGGTGTTTTCATTATAAATATCAGTATTGTCAGAAAATAAAGGTCATTTTTTACAAGCTATAATATTTAGGTTTCAATAGAAAATTGACGTTTTTTAAACTATTTTCACAATACTGAGGATGTTTAGATGTGTTCGATATAATTATATGTAGGAAATTTTCTAATAAGCAAATTTTTAAATTGAATTTCTAAGTAGAACTCCAACTGGAACTAACATTTGAGAAATACTTATTGTTCAGATAATTTTTCGTTTGAAACTGGTCGGAACCTTGGAAATGCTATGGATTTTGTAAATCAATGTACAAATAGTAAAACTTAAAAAAATAGTTAGTAAATAACCACATAATTAATATAAAGTATAATATAATTTATGTTATACTTATTTCAAAGATTCTGTTATTTCTACCAGATAAAACAGTTTGTTTTTATTTAACATTTATTGCTATTAAATCAATTATTTAAAACTACATTCGTTGAAAAAGAGATTTGCAAAATAAGCGAGTGACTTAATTACAATCAGTTTCAATTTGAACAATACAATAGCAATTTGTTCTGTAATTAAAAACAAGGATCCGAGCATTTATAAGAAATAGAATAACAGTTTTGTTTCTAAATTAATTAAGTTACTGATAAAAAAATTACCACACTCTAATTGTGGTGAAGCAACTTCTCCAGCTTGGCAAATATTCACGGCAGATTTATGTTAAAAATAAATGTTTTGCAAAAATGACAATAATTATAATAAAGTTCCATATTACATTGGTTACATGTTCAAACTTTATAATTTACAATGCATTCAAATGCGTCCCAGTTTATTCATTTTTCGATGTGCTGTTGTAATAAACACGCTTTATGGAGTAGGTACATGCTGGTATTTACCTATAAAATGTTTTTATTACTTTAAACTAATGTTGTTTAATGTCACCTGCTCTGCTTTTCATCATTCATCTGAATATGATAATTATCTGTCAGTTTTCATTTAAAATTCATCGCGTCTGCTGACATTCGTGCAATATTTTGCGGAAGGCCAGATATTGGTTTTTTTTGCCTGTTTTTATCATCTATTCTCCATGATAAATAGGTATGTCGTGGCAGGCATAATAAATATAAAATAAACGTTTTGGTTCAAGAACTTGGAAAGGAAGCCTAATAACGATGATTTACGAGTACTTTTAGTTTGTATTTCACTGTGACAAACTAATTGGTTTATGTGCTTAATATTTACACTCTATATTATCGCGAAACTGGATAATATCGTCATTTGAACGGTTGTTTTACTGCTAAATTTATTACACTAAACATTTGATTCATTTAGGTAATATTTCCGTCAAAATTGTCTACTTGTATTCTGTTAATTCGACTAGACCATTTCCAGTTCATATTTATAATTGCAATGAGTGTTTTAAATACTTATTTTATTATATAAATATTGTTGGGTATATACCAGGTGCGAAAAAGATTTGACCTCCAGCCTGATAAGCAATCTAAATATAATACATCAACAATATTATCAATGGTTTCACTTAGAGGCTACAATTTTGTATTTACATTGACAATAAAATGTGAAAAATTCTAAACTGGCAATAATATAACATGTGTAGTTTTTTCTAATTATTTTTATCGTTTTTTAATTATTGAAATTGTTATACTTTACTATAAAATCTAGTGATTATTGTCATTCAGTATGTGATCAAAGGGTCATTCATAAAGTTACATAGGTACTTATTTTTTGTTTGTTGGCAATCTACATTGTCGTGAAGAATTGCATAAAAAGCCTAGTTGGCGATAAGCTGGATGATGAATGGAACATGCCAACAAAATGAACAGTTCAATTTATTCCACTCCAATCCCCCAACACTATTTTATGTAAGTGTGAACAATTGCAATTTTTTATATTTTCACATTCGTATGCTAGAATCACGTACATTAAAATCTATAACTATTGTATTGTGTATGTATTGATTAAACATTAATAATTATGCATTGTTCACTTTACATGAAAATGATTTCATTATTAACTTGCTCATGATAATTAATTACTTATGTTGGATTTTACTTGTTAATGCTTAGAGATTTTAAATTTCGATATAAACCTTCATTTTTTACTCTTCTTTATTTTTATTCATTCATTCTTGTAACTATCTTTAAAAACAATTTGATATTTCACGTTTGAGCTTTATATTTGCTTACTTTTACCAAAATAGGACTTACAATAAAATAAAACGTTTTTTTGGAAAAACTATATTAAGTATACCTATTCGATTTCAAAGAAGCAATTAAGGTGAAGGTTGGTGTACTATTTACAAAACATTTGAATGATTATATGTGAAACTTGTACCTATATAAATGCGAACATGTTGTTATGTGGAACTTAAACATCGTTTAGAATTTGGTAAATAGAAGCCACTTTATTTTTAGGACACACACAATAAACGTGATTATTATGCCTAATAGTAACACCGCCGGAAGGAAATACGCTTTTACCTTGATGCAGTTTGATTCCATATTCGAATACATATTATGGATATTTAAATTGCAAATTGTTTCTTATAAACCTTTTGGAGTAGTTAAAATTAATGACGGTTTTAATTATTTTTTTGGCGATTACGATTCCAGTTTTTTATCTGCAAGGAAATTATTTTTCTAGGTTGTGTTATTTATTATTTTTAAATAAGATGGTTTATTGACGCACAGTTTGAGTTTATTTTTGCCTTACTGAAGTCGTTATGTGTGCGTCATTTAAAAATCTAATCCCTATGTACTGTTAGTTGTTCTTTGTTGTCTTTTGCGAAATGTGCACATCCCTGTGCGAATATTTCTGAACGAATCTGACCTTGACAAAAAATTGGATGTTTTCCTCACTAATTTAAATACGGTTTTTATACCGTTATTGTGAGGTACGAATTATATGGAGGTTATACTTCTTTTCATTTTGGTAATTTGTCTCTAGAATTTCTACTAGAAGGGTTTTAAAAACACAACAAATTTTTAAAAATATTTAGAAAAGGTAATTAAGCAGGCCTAAGCCAGATTTGACTGGAAACTTAACAATCCGATCTTCGTTAACTCTACATAATAGAAAATCATTTGTTGCGGATTTCCAAGAAAATTACAAAACCTACTATCATTACACGTTATAGTACGGAACATAAGTTCACAATTTCAATGTCAACATTTTATTGGCCCTTTTTAGCGCTCTAAGTATTTAAAAAGATTTCCGTTTTGTTTCTATTTTTTGAGACAATTCATGAAATGCCCTTTCGGTTGACCTCCCTCTCACGTTGCGAAGCGCAGTTTGAATCCTTAATTATCACAATTTTTTATTTGCGCCCTACAGGAAGTAAAAAAAAAAAAACATAAAATTGATCAAAATTTCATTTGGTACAAAAATAAATACCGGATCATATTAAGCCTTGTTATTAAAACCATCTTGAGTATTTTAATAGTAATATAGTACTATAGAGTATATTTGTAATGTTAATTACGACTCCTATTAGGTCCTACTTACAGATTTTGATAATAAAATGTTAATATGATCTTGCCAAGAAACAGCTAATGTTTGGAAAAAATTGCAATTATATTACTGGCGTCCGTCGAATTCAACAAACAATAAAGGCGCGAAAAAAAACATTGAATTCCAGATCTGGTGGCATGTAGAAAGTAAAAAGGTGTTTTAATAATGTGGCTATTGTTTTAAAATGGCTCTTCAGATATGTTCATAGAAAAATAAAAATGGTTTGAGCAAATTTCGGCTGTTTTGGAGTAGAAATTCCGGAATTCCGGAACTCCTAAAACTACTTAACCTTGTTTTACATCCAAATGAGCAACTTTGCCGTAATTTAATTAACTTCGTATCTCTTATTAGGATTAGGTGTGAACACACTGGATGAAATAAATGAATCGGTTTGTTTAGAATGATGTGTGTAATTTTAGGTCTTTTTTCAAGGTCTTTCGGGGCGTCTACAAATTACAGAAAATAAAATACTTGGTACTAATGAGTGATACCAAAGGGGTAGAAAAATAACTTAATACCTCGTCAATCAATGCACAATTGATACACCTGTGAGCATCCTTAACTTCATAGGTGTAGACAAATCAGACCAGACGAGACAAAGGAGGGCTCTCATCAACCCTCGTGAAAGAAATCAATAGAAAGGAACAGCACGAACAGACTAAAGTTAATCAAGTGGTCATCTAAAATGGTCAAGAACCCTCTTGTGTCGTCAAGATTAGTTTTATTTTATATGAGAAATAAATGATTGAAGGTCGAACAAATTCAACAATGTTTTTTGTATGTATCTTATAGTTTACGAGATCCCAATGCTAATCACCCTGTAATGATTTGTTTCCGACTGACGTGTATGAACGTTTGTACTTTTTCCAAATATGTCCTGCGTTTGCTCAAAATGTTCAAGAAGCACTTTGTTGAAATTTGAGTGCTAAAAACGGTTTTTTTTCAGGAACTCTTACAGTAGAAGAAGTATATCGAGACAGGGACCAATTCGCAGCCTTAGTGCGAGAAGTAGCAGCCCCGGATGTGGGTCGAATGGGCATCGAAATTTTATCGTTCACCATCAAGGACGTTTATGACGACGTCCAATATCTAACATCGTTGGGGAAGGCCCAAACTGCCATGGTCAAAAGGGACGCCGACGCCGGTGTTGCGGAAGCCAATAGAGACGCCGGTATCAGAGTAAGTTCTTCAGGCTCTTCAAGTATATTATTTTTTATGGCGAATAATTGTATTATTATAACTCATGAGTATAAAGTGATTTTCACGTGATCTGACGTCACTGTACTACGCTGGCATTGTTTTTAAACGCAGAAATAATTCAAGTTAATTGCAGCACTTCTAAGGAAATACTGCGGGACATATAATTTTATGCTTCCATAAATCCATAAACTTTAAGGATTTACCGTAAGGGGTATAACTTTTTAATGCTTACCTTGCTTTATTAGCTCCGTCCGTGTTGCAAATTAATTCTTGATTCGCAACGACGCAACTGAGTTTCATCTAAACACGAATGGATTTAAGGAATTACATATTTAAATGTGTTTCTTCTTAGGGCGAACATTAGCCTAATAAGGAGAAAATGAACTTTTTTATGCCTCTAGTTTATTATATAAAATCCAGTAATCAGCGGTGGTTTTATTCATGCTGCAAAAACACGTTTTGCTGGAAACTTTCTAGTATAATGCTGACGCTACCAAATCATATTAACAGAAAGTGCTAATATACAAGGCGCTTAAACAAATATACTAAAAATATAATAAAATATGCAATCCCATAAACAGAGGTCTGTCTAAGTTCCAAGAATATGTAATTCTGGACGTCTTCTAAAATACAGCTGAATTGTTTATTCAATTTAGAAGCTGTTGAGCTTATTATATGACTTAAGTCAGTTGCAAATTCGAGAGCATCAAGTAGGTTCGCTGTTGCAAAGTCTTTTGGTCTGTAAAAATAAAAGTTTTTTTAAAACAATTGTTTTACGATCATAATCATAATTGGCGCAGTCGGTAGGATCCTTTCAGTCCGGTTATGGTTTGCAAGTTTTTATCGGAAAATCAATTGTCCAAAGCGACAACTATATCGTAGTAATTCCAACAAGTACTGAAGTTCAGTAACTGAACAATTCAATCCCATTGTTCGAACCAAAACTTTATCGACACAATAAAGTTCCCATCATTGATAATTGTATATACTTTCCTGACTGTGTTTCAATTCCAAATCAAAATTAATTCCTGGGTCATTTAGTGTCTCTATTTATCAATTAAAATACGTTTCGGTGTATTTTTCCACCATCATCAGTTTTTCTAAAATAACAGATAGTTAAAAAAAATGTTCATTAATTTAAAAATCAATCACAGTTCGTCAACAGCCTCATCATATCACACATTAAAATACTAATGAAAAAACTACATAAATAAGAGAAGAGTCCATGAAATGATACAGATTAAAAAACATAACAATGCTATGAATTTCAGATCGGATACATACATACATTTATTAAATGAAATAAACATAGAATATAACACCCGGTATATTGAAGAATTTTGCAAACCAAAAATAATATCCTCAGAATGCAAAGAAAAATAGCTGAAAGTAAAAGAAATCAATATAAAC